ATTTGTATTTTATTAAAATTAAATATTTATTACATATTAAACGTAGTTCTACACACAGCAATGTAAACAAAGGTGCCTGTTCTCTTTCGTTCTTGCTCTTTGATTGGAAAAATGTAAAGGGCGTCGAGGGTTCTTGTCTTTTTTATGTTATCTGACTAAAAACTATTCATACTATTATTATTACAGTATTTATTTAAAAAACGTAGAGTGCCTTAAAAATAATCATCACAACACTGGTAAAACAGGCTTATACTCATTTTCTCATCCTCCGAATTATGATTTTTAGTCCTGTTTTTATTTTCATTATCATTCATAAAATGAATAAATTCAGAACATGATTAGAATATAATTCTATTTTAAATAACAGCAACATTAGTGTTTACAACAGCAAAACCACTATACCCTGTAAACTCAATAATAATAATAATAATAATAATAATAATAAAATGTAGCTAACATTGTTCTACACACAGTAATATAAACAAAGGTGCCTGTTCTCTTTCGTTCTTGCTGTTTGATTGGGAAAAGTTTAAAGCATGTTGAGGGGGTCTTATCATAATAATAATAATAATATAATTCAGTTTCTAATTCCAGAGTAATTAAGAGGTGCAAAGAAAAAATTATTTAACTTTTAAACTTAAATTGGTCTTTTCTGTTCTGTGTTTCTGTATCAATACAGAAGCATCCATTTCGATACACGTATCAGCAAGGAGCACAGTCCTATTAAAAGTCGTGTTCCATGTGCCCCTTTTATACTTTGAGCACCTGCCCCTCCAAAGGTTTCTGCACGGCCCTGCAAGACAGAACCAATCAATTACAGAGAGCATTCACTCACTTCTGACAGTGCATTCAAACAGGGCTGCTTTTCCCAAAAGTATCATAAGAAACCATTGACGCATTTGAGAACGGCACCCCAGAACAATGCTTATCAGAGGACAGAAAAAAAAAAACATATATGTTTGAGTTATTTCACAATAAATAAACTGAAATTGTAGCCTACATAGTTTGTGCAATTACATTTATTTAAATTAAACGAAAGTTCATATTAATCATGTTCTATTCTGTAATGTTAATATAAATCATACACTGTCAGAATAAAAAGGTTGCATTTTATGTGTGCAACAGCCTTTCACTGGCAGTCCCTTATGAAAATGAACCACAGTTTTACTAAAGTGACCCTAGTTCAACTATATAGTATTTGTAGATTTCCATGGTTACCACTACAGTAAACATATTTTAACCATGTGTAAACAAAAATATAACCTAATAAGTTGCAATTAAGACGTGAAATGAATGAATGTGAATGATAAAATGTGTTCCAAATATAAAGTTAAGTGGATATCATTACCCATTTTACTCTTAGTAATTTAATAATGTAATAAATTTCATAATTTAAAAGTTCAGTTTAGAAGTATTGTATTGGTATCGATATTGACGATACTGACCTTAAAAAGTATCGGTATCATATCGAAAACAAAATAAGTGGTATCGCCCATCCCTAATCAACTCTGAGCAGAAAAGCACCCAACGTCATTTGCATTTCTTTTCCATTGTCCAATCAAATTAATGGAGAGGCGGGCATTCCGTTGTGATGACGGAAGCTTACAGTGGCTGGGAACGTCCAGAGACTGCAATGATGGAGGAGAAACTTGTGGTGGCTGTCGAGGGTTACCCGGAGCTGTATTTAAAAAAAAATTTTATGTTTCTGCTAATATGACAGTTGACTTAACAGCAAACCAAAGATTTTAGAGTGTTCACGCTATAATCCTTGATTAGACTGACAGGACAGCTGACTCAGTGGTTGCCTAGCAACATTAAAAACCGCAGCGCACTGCACTTTTACAAAAAGTCAACCAAAAAATGGCAGTGCCAAAAAAAAAAAAAAAAGCAAAAAAAGGG